ATTATTATTATTATTATTATTATTATTATTATTATTAATGGTGCTTCTTTGGTTATTGAGTGTCGTGCAAGTTGGAATTAATTGTGTTTTGTTTAAATATTTCCAAGCTCATATTTGCTTCAAGTGGATATTTGAAATATGGTGATAAAGAGTAAATCGTATGGTTTCGTTACGAAACTATTTTATTGAAGTTTGTAATCATTAGATTATCATGTAAATATTTGGAATAGTTAATTTAACGGCTACACACTCCGACGAAATAGTTCCACAATGGGAGACATCATCTTCCAAACTCACTGCTGATGTATTTTGTTTAAAATTTTGTGGGCTCGATGGGTTGTGGACTCCACATAACAAGGGCTGTTTCAATATATGCATGCACAAATTATGTGAGGCAGTTTAACACACACGTGGTTTCGTATTTTTTTGTTAATAAAAATAAATATTGATATTATTAAATATTGGGAAATGCTAATCATTCCGTCGGGATTTGTAACCGTTAGATCAACTATCCCAGACGGTTATATTATGATATAACGGTTACAAATCCCGACAGAATGATTCTGTAGCAGAACTATAGCATCTCTCTTAAATATTGTTGTCATTCTATTTGTATTAGTTTTTTTAAGGTGGCATTTTTTTAATAAAATGTTGATATTTGTGAAAAAGTGTATATATGTTTAGCTATTGTAAAACATGGTTTATCCATCCCAAGTGAAAATATGTTATTAATTAATCGAATATGGCTATTTATCATACATATTTGCCTATCAATAATTATGCTTAGAATTGGCCTAATTATGATACACACACAATATACAAATTAATGTCATTTTCTAAAATTGAAACTTCTATTTTTTATTTTAAAACTTTTTTTATATATTATGCATAAATTTTTGAATTCAAACACATGTATATTATATGGATATTAATGTACTAAGTTTTAATATACTTGGATACATATGCTACATCTTTATTGATGAAACTCTCAAGAAACCAACATTCATGTAATCTATAATTGGGATAAATGCATAAGAGCTAACCTCATATCACAAATGAAAAGGTATTATGTGATTTTGAGAAAATGATCATAAAGTTTCAAAACTTTCCCCGTGTGTGTGTGAATAGAGCCATAAAGGCCTATAGCTTTTTTTTTTTTTTGGTACAGGGATCTTCCGGTTTCCGGATCCACAGGGGAACCGACTAATCCGGAATCGAGCCGGGTAGGACCACAAGGGCGACAAAGCTCTCCCTCAAGAGTTTTAACACTGCTGCATTCCCAGGGCTCGAACACGAGACCACTGGTTAAACTGGAAGAGACTCAAGCCATCTCATCCAAGCGCTCTTGGGTTAAAGGCATGTAGCTTTAAAGTGTATAATATATAGACGTGGCCAGTCAATGGGCCCGGGCCGGCGAGCCTCAATTTGATGGCCCGTAACCGCCGACTATTTTTATGGGCCGGTTCATTGAATCGTCCCTTACCTGCCCTCCGGTTTTTGCCGGTTCGGACTCGGCCCGGCCCATAAAAGAATTACAAATGCTGCACGTCTTCCAATTCGCGGCCCGACCCGGCCCGGACAGTCGGGACAAGTTAAAGAAAAAAAACTAAGAACCGGAACCGACCCGTATGGTCAAGATTCCGTTTCAACGAACCGGCGAAATCCGGGCGGTTGCGGACCGGGCCGGGATCGGCCATGTCTACATAATACATATGCTATGAAGAGTTTGTATATCAATCCTACAAGTGGAGCAAGTTGCATAAAAACCTCCTTTTTTGAAGTTGTGGCTGCAAATATGTCAACCCAATATAATTAAATCAAATGGTAAGGACAGCTAGCTTAGAGATGCACATCTTGAGAAACTTGTGAGTTGCCTTTGCGGGCATGTGATCATCAACCTACTTTTCCACTTGTTTTTTTTTTTCCTTTCCCCTGTTCATCTTTAATAATATTCACCCATCTATTTTTTTTTTAAAAAAAAAAATTATGGGTCAACAATCTATGTTTACAAGTTGGTCAATATCCACTTAATTAAGTTGGGATTTATGCATGTAAGTTCAGATTTAAAAAAATAAAAAATAAAAAATTATAAAGCAATTATTTCCCAGATTAAATTATAAAACTTAATTCCCTTATAATTTGTTATTGGTTTTTAATACACGAGAAATCAATCTATATATGGAAATGTACAAATTTATATATAGAAAGAAATAAAAATAAAAAATAAATATGTATTTATTCTTTTGTAATGAAAACCAAATAAAGTAGATATTATTTTTTACTAATACCTTTGTCAAGTTAAATCTGCCCTTATATGGAAAAATGGGCTGTAGCCCGTGTATTAACTTGGACTGAGATTACTTGAAGCTAACCAACATGATGGGAAGCCCACTTGAAAGAGGCCTTATATAAGACCATCAAGGCCATCAGTTATAGGCTAATGTACATACCTATTATACTAGTATTCGATCATGTGCACCTGTGTTTGACTCATTTTTGTTGTATTTTTGTGCTCGTTTTGCTTTTCTTTCTCCCCCGTTTTAGGTCATTTCTTTCGTTTTTAGTCCATTTCGTGTTTTATTATGTGTTTTCTACCATTTTAAGTCTTTAGATATTTTTCGTTTGTTTTTTCGGTTTTCTTTGTGTTTTGCCCTTTTTTGTGTGTAGGTCAGGAGCTTCCAGAGAATTTTCTCAACAGTAAAAATTAGTTTCGAGAGCATAATTGAATAGATGGGTTCGTTAGCGGCGCGTAGGGAAAACAGAACTCAATTCCGAGTTCGAATGAGCTCAAACGAGGCCGAAACGCAAAATGACCCAGTGCACACCGGTCGCGACCCGCGACCGCAGCCCCCCGCCCAGCTGCGCCGCGCGACCAGGATCTCGCGCCTCGCGAGAAAAACCGAGGTTGCGCCCCAGCCTCGCGAGTTCTTTCGCGCCCGCGACCCACAACTTTGCGACTCCCGTGCGCGTGCGCGCGCGCGCCTGCCATCCAGCGCGCCCCCAGTGTCGACGGCCTGCTATCCCACGACCCAGCAAACTCGTGAGTCGTGACCGGGTCGACCCTGTTTTTATTTTTGCTCATTTTTTTTGCCTTTTTTGTCCGTTTTTCGAGCTCTATATATTGAAACGACCCCCCAGACTTAGAGAATAATCCCCAATATCATTTTTTCACTTTCTCCTACTCTAAAACTTAGACTTTGATCGTTCTTTTTGCTCAATTCTCTCTTTACTTTTCTGGGTTCAGTTCATCGGATTTGACTCTCGTTTCTCTATTAGTCGTAAGTTATTCTTTTCATCTAATCCTTTAATATGAACTAGTAGGGTGCCCGTGCGATGCATGGAACATGTATTACCTATTTATTGTTTAAAAGGTATTTTTTTGTATTTAAATTGTCTCATGGCATTAAAAATATCATGAAAAATAGTTTTATATGTTACTAAAAACTTCCTTATATACAAAATTATTGATTTGATTCTTTGGCACGTAAAGTACTACATAGGTGTATGAATTTTATCTAAAATTGCATACTATTAATTATTAGTTAACAATTTTTTTTAAAAAAAATTGAAGGATTTTATTTATTAAACAAAATTATAGTAGAAAAAAAGTAAAAAGTGTTAGGAATTTTCACCCACTATTTATCTTAAATCTAATTCTAAGTTTCAATTAAGAAAAATTGAAAGAATCATTAGTTACTCATGAAAATAAAAACGATTTTTCTACCAATAAACCGATTTTTTTTTTATCAAACAAATTGATCCGAATATTTTTTTAAAACCAAATAAAAAATCATCATTTTTTTCTAAAAATGCAACCGAATTTTCCTAACATTGCACCGATTTTTTTACCAAGCAAATTGAATTGAAAATAATCCTAATATTGAAATACTTTGTTAAATGTTTGTGCAATTTTCTCTTTCCTAAGGAAAATGATATGAACTTAACAAAAAAAAAAATGATATGAATTTACCAAAACCTCGGTAAAACATGGTTAAGAAAAAAAACATAAGAATCCAAAAAAATCGGTGCATTAAAATTTTGAAAAGTTGCACACGATTTTTCCTAAATAATTGGATAAGATGACTCTAAATATCAAAGATGAACCGCTTTTGTTACCAAAAAATGTGGACACAACTTTGAATGTACATCCCGTCTAAATATCAGTTTTATTTTAAAATAAACATTGCATGTGGATTTTCAATTTACATATTTTTCTTTTTTTTTTTTTTGAAAGAAAAAATAATCAATAAGATTGGAAGAATTAGTTAAAAATTATGCAACTATTTGTTTCCTAAATTTGTATCCAATTTGCACGATTTTTAAATTAATTTGTATTTAGAGTTATTTTCATAAATAATTGACATATTTTTGCATAAGAATCTCCAATTTTATTACCAAAAAAGATATGATTTGAATTTTGGTAAAAAAATAAAATATGATATGAAAAAAATGAGATTCTAATTTTGCCATAAGAATCTCAAAATTTGCAAAAAAAAAAAAAAAAAAAAAAAAANNNNAAAAAAAAAAAATAGGATTCAGATTTTGTTGCTAAAGATATACATGTGTTTTTTCAAACTTTCCATTAATAGTAAGTCAAACATTATATTTATTTGGTCAAACTTTCTATTAATGTATTTTTCCAACAACCTTTATATATATATATAGATGTTTGGGTTGAGAAGAATGTTTATGTTGAATTCGTTATGAGTAGCTAATTCGTTTCTCCAGAGATAGGAGATGATGATGATGCTTAG